ACCTGGATCCTGTATGTTCTCCAGGTTGCAGCATCCCCAACACTTGATCTTACGTCTTTCAAAGACCATTGACTGAAGTGTAAAACCAGGTTAGGGACTCACTCTGATAATTATCTCCCGTCAGACGATCGGGGTCACTTACCTTTGTTGTTCCCTCCAAAGAGTGTCAGCTATTGGGCGGTGCCCAGCCCCCCTTTCCCCGCACTTGCTGCAGGTCCACAGATCCACAGCAGCCCGTTTCTGTTCTGTTCTGTTTGGTTTTGTTTTAATAAATGTTTTGAACTTTCGTACTGACTGTCTCACCTTGAAGACTGTGTCCATCTGTCCCGTGTTATGACACTGTCAACTATTAGTTGTTGAACAAAGTTCAGAAAAACTAAGTGAAAATCCTGTTGTCTCAGATTTAAACCTGTTCTGTGTTTATTCAGAAAATGCCTGCCACATCCTTTATATGATTGTAGGATATTCCACTTCTTCAGACTTTGGGTTTGACTCTTAGAGATGTATAAATACACCACACCATTGTCCCATGTTTATGTATCCAGCAATAACTAACAGTTTAGTTGCATAAAAGTAACAGAACCCTATAACAGCTAATTTTGAAAAGAATTCAAAATAGGCAAATCTGAGGAGGGGAAATCTCAATGTTGAAGATGATTTGTGATAAAGATTTAATGAAAATGTCCTGTTTGTCCCATTTAATTATTTGATCTGGTTTAAAGGAATCAAAATGACTTACTGAAAATAGTGAGACGGGACACGGGTATGAGGAAATGCTGTCTTCGCTGCACTTCAATATATATTTTAGAACAAAGTTTAGAAAACAAGAATGGTATGGGGAAGCAGATGCCTTACAAAGCAGGTTAAATCTAAGATAAGATTTAAAGCGACATTTATAGTGTTTCTTTCAGTTTGAACACTAAATTAGATAAGACGTTTAAGAATCAATAACACATTGTAGCATAAGCGTGTGGTGAACTACAAAAAAAACAAAACAGTAAAAGTTTTGCTTTTTGAGTTAGAAAAAACTAAAGGTCAAATGTTTAAAAGGGTTTTTTAATTAACCAGCCAAGGATTAAACAATAAATCTGATGAAAACAAGGTTTTCACTGTTTCACAAAATACGAAAATTAAAATGACTAGAAAAAGAGGACACACTTATAGTAGCATAATCCTGGCTGTGCTTTTGGGTTTCTGAGGGACAAACATTAGTCTGGTTATAAAACATTAAATCATTTACGAATAAAGTCAAAGAGAGAAGTCTTATGTTTAACAAACCAAATTTGTTCTGTTGTTTTTATTCTTTTTATATATTATTTTTTTTGTGATTTTGTTTTCCTTTAAAGGAATAGTACACCCAAAACATGATTAGCCTTCATTTTCTACTCACCCCCATGCTGAACAACACTCTGGAGTACTTTTTTGATATCTCAAATGCATCTGGAGATCTGGGAGGCTTCTTGCTGTCTGCTGACATTCAAATAATGGAGGTCTATGGCGCCCGAGACAGAAAGGTCCATAAAAGTCCACAAAAAACGCGTCAATATTCCTCCATACTGCTCGTCCAATGTATTCCAAGTGTCCTGAGTGGGTAGCATCCAGAATTTACTCGAAACGAAGTCATTTAGAATGTTTTTAGAGCATAAACAGTAGTGTATAGGATTTCCTGAAAGCACGCGCCAGCGCGCTCACGACGCTACATTCTAAATGACTTCGTTTCGAGTAAATTCAAAGCACCGTATTACAAGACTTTTTTTTTTTTAATTTGCACAGACAAACATCTTTCATATGTCCAAATAAATTACAACTGGAACTCTAACACTCACACAAACTAAGTGAAAAACTTAAAACCATGACACCTGTTAAAGTAAACTGTTTTTGGTGTTTATAAGTTACATGATGACTTGGTCTAAGAATGGTTTGATTTTTTTCAACAATCAGTCAATCAAATGGAGGGTCGACATGCTGAAGACAGGAGTCTGAAGAGATGTTTTTCTGCAAGAGACTAGCAGTGCACTCACTTGATCTATAACCATCAATTGTTATTCATAGAGTGCTTTATTTTAAGAAGTTAATACTAACAGCACTTACAGGATGAGTCCTAGATCTATATTACACTCTTGAATGCAGCAATTAATTGACTGCACTTAATTCATTCCCTAATTTTAATCCTTTTTAAAATATATTGTCTTTGTCTTTTCTATTCCATGATATGAGAACCAGGGCCTCCTCCAGAGGAGACTGTGAGGTCCCTCACAGAAGAACAACTTTTGGTCAGAACACTCTCTCTGTGAGAGCCACTAACATCTGGAACAGTCTTCCTCTGCACATACGGGGGACCCCTACACTGATCAGCTTTAGAGCTCAACTCAAACTACAGATGAAAACAAACCAGTCATGTGACCACTAAACTCTTAACATTTCCTTGTGATTCTTGTATTGTATGTTATGTTCTTTCTTATATATTTGCCTGCCTAGGGTCTACGGATGAAAACTAGCTTTGTAGCTGTAATCCGGCATATTTACATTTGTTTTTATACTGATGTTCATTAATGTGCATTGTCCCTATTCAAATAAATAAATAAATATGCAAAACACATTTATCTGTGTGGAAGTTAGTGGTGGGGAAAAATCAAGTTCATTACAGGATCAGTAACTATTTAACCTCAATTACTTATGCTCTAAAATCAAATAGATGAAAAGAAAATGAGCATGCTATCATAAATATTTATTTCTTTTAATCCATGATTTAGGTTGTATAACCATTAGATTGTTTGAGATTTGTAAACTTTCGCTGTTTTTAAGACCACTTATATTATATGCTTTGATAAACTACTTCTTTAGAAGAGCTAACAAAAAAATTCCTTTCATTAAATGTAGTAGAATATATATATATATATATATATATATATATATATATATATATATATATATATATATATATATATATATATATATATATATATATATATATATATATATATATAAGTATATATAGCAACAAGGCTTAAAATATCTTCTGTAGTTATTTCTGAAGTTATTTCTCATACTGACTTCAGAACAAGGACGGTAGATGCATTGCTTTTCAGAACTTAACATTTTCAACATTTAGTGCAATTAAAACATCAATAGCACTGGAGCATTTTATTCCCCTTAAACTAATTACTAATATAAACAATTCACATTCCTTTATCAGGGATTTATTTAGGTTTTCAGACACAGACTTATCATGTTGGCTCTGAAGTTTACATGTGGTACCACAAGGGCTGGCTTTAAAATGTGCACTGCAACTTAGGCTGCTGGCATGTTGTGAACATCTGTGCTTGCTGCCTAATTAGTGGAAATGAGGTGCTTTTGCATCTGATTTAGAGACATACAAGAAACAGAAGACATAGTTTCACACCCTTAGGACTTTAGTTTGTCTGAAAAATAAGTAAATAAACAATTTTTCATTTCCAGATAGGGGGAACCACACAGTATATAACACCAGCCTCCATCCTATCTATTATCTAGAAATAGGGCACTGGCATTTTTGCAGCATCAGAAAGCGCTAATATGAGCTTTCAGAGTCTGACCTTTTTTTCCTTGTGGAAGGAAGGAAGTCCTCTGCTGTCATCAGTCAGCTCTACTTCAGTTCAGTTGAGTCTAATTTGCAGAGCCAGGTAAACATCACAGCTGTGATGATTTACTTCCTCCATTTTTCCTGACTCTGAAATGCCTACAGTCACATGAATGTAGAGAGAGCATTTTGCTTCAAAGGAATGGGTTTCTTGTAAAGGCATGAGAGAGCTTATTGGCTGTTTGAGCCAAACAAAGCCACTATTTGAATGAGCTGCAGGTTTACCCCTCCCAATATACAGGCCAAGTTTAAACCCAATATTTGAAACTTTAAAACACCTGCAACCGTCATTTTAGACCACAAAGATGTTTCCTTAACTCTTAATGTTGTCACAACCAAACAGGTAGACAGCTTTCGACTAGCAAAATGTTACCTCTGTGCTTTCAAGCAGAGAACTGAGTCCTTCTTAATCAGGCAGAAGAGGCAAAATAGTGTCTTCTATTTTGTGTGGTGCAATTTCAAAGCTGTAAAGCATGCTGGGAGGTGAATTTACAGATTATGATGATCTGGCACTACTAATCTATCAATTCCAGTTTGATTGAATAAAGCATAAACAGGTCCCCTTAAAAATGTACTGAAAATGGTCAGACAGGACAGTGATATAAGGAAATGCTGTCATTTATTTACACTCAGTGTCTTATGTTAGCACTATGTTTAGAAAATGAAAATGGTATGGGGAAGCAGATTTTGATCTTATCTTAGATAAGATCAAAATCTCTATCTATGGTCTCACTTTCAGTCTCAACAATAGAGCATACATTTGGTGGACAGTACTGTACATACGATAATAAAAAGATTTTACTCCTTTGCAACTTGAAAAAAACATAAAGAAAATATATTTAAAAGCCTTTGAATGATAAATTGGTCAAGCATTTATCAATTAAATCTGACCAAATACTTAAAAGAAGATTACTCTTTGTACAAACATTACCCTCATTTCGCAACCTAGTTTCTGTGGGACAAACATAAATTTTATTATGACACATCAACCTATCTACTAGCAAACTCTTAAAGACGGAGATATCATGCTCAGTAAACCTAATTTGTTTTGTCATTTTTTTGATTTTGTAAGGTTTTCATAATTTTTTCCTCAGATTAGAATATATTCTGTTTTATTCTGGGGAATACGCTGTCTCAGTGGGTTAGTTAGGGGTCAATGGCTTACAGGCTGCAGATAGATGTGTTAAATTATTAAAGTAGAGGGGAAACCAAGTTAAAATTGTTTATTTTATGAACTAATTGCTTTTGAGTTATTATTATTATTGAACCAGTCTTTTTAAGTTTTAGATAGAATGTTATCAGTAAAACAGACACCCAAAGACTGCCCACACGAGGGTGGAGCTCTAAAAAGTCAAACAGAAAATGAAAGCAATCTCCATTAAGTTGATCCTGCAGCAGAGAAGGGGCATATATTGCAAGAGACACTCAGCAGAGACTCCACATTTTACACCAGTGCTGGTAAGTTACGGCTTCTTATTTGTATATGTCTTGATGCACATTACAGTTTCATTGCTGAGCAAAGAGAAAAGGAAACCCTTTCCTCTCTGCTCAGCAATGTAACTGTACAAAAAAATCATGAGGACTACATTTAAAGATTCCAAACGTACAACAGTGATAGGTAAATACAATCTTCAAATATGTCAGGAAATTATAAAAAAATAAATAAAACATCTTGTATTAGAGCAACATGTTTACTTATCAAAAGTTGACTTACAAGTTTCACTTTCTATTTTCTCTCCTCCACCGTATTTAGGCTCTGAGGTGCAGATCGATTAATTCTTACAGTGGCAATTAGAAGACAGTAAAATCAATGGATTATGTCTCCATGAGACTCAGATATGCTTAAACAAATGCTCAGAAATATGAAATAGCTGTTCCGTGCTTTATTTGGTGCTTTGTTTACAAGATAGTGTTTGAGAGTTAAGTCAGACATTTTGACTGATTAAAAGATTTCTGTAAAACTATATTTACTCTTTTTGGCTAAATATAATCTAGAGAAAGTTTAACTTATTTTTAAGAGTAACATATTCCGTATTAAACTCACAAAGTCAACATAGAAAAGGGTGTTTTTCTTCACAAAGGTATGTAAAAGAAGTTCCAAAAATGCAGAAAGGTTTTTATATCTTAAATAGCTCTTTGTGGTAATAACTATACTATACTAACATTATGATGCAGAAAGGATGTGTTTTCTAAGAAAAGAAAAGAAACACAGACTAAAATCTTTTTTTTTCTTTTCAGTTATATAACCTTTATCTCCTTTCTGAAAGTTTGGATACGATAGTTTTGTGCTGTTCGATTTTTAAGGAATAAAATGTATTCTGTTTTAGTGAAAATATTTTAGAACATCTTTATTTATACACAAAAAATCTTTGTTTAGTTAAATTCACAGTTAAATATTACAATCATTATATGGAAAATCTGGTCTATTTTTATTTGTTGACATTGTTTTGCGGGATATTTTTCCTTTTGTTGTTCTCCAAACTGGTATTTTTGTTAGAGATTTAAAGTGAAAAAATACAATCTAAACTCAAATAGGTTTTTGCTTCAATAGCATCATAATATCGATTTAATCAGATAAACTTATAGCAGCAAGAAATGTATAGTTCAATCAAATAGATTTAAAAAGCTTCATGTCTTACCCCAAAAACATTTTAAAGTTTATTTAAAGTTTACTTTTTTAACCTGGTTAGTTTATATGATCTAATTAAAATATTTATTTCATTTTATTTTTTTACATGTATTCCAATTTCCCTGTGTAATTATTAATCCATACTAAAGATTGTTATGTGTCTAATTAAATTTTTAAACTGGGTTAATACTTAGACTTTATTGTTAATTTGTATACAGCAAAAGGAAGAGGAGATAAAGAAAACCAAGCTAACTAAAGATTTTCAACAGTGAATGAGAAGCTTATAACAGTGTAATGAACATTTCCATTTATAAAGTGCAGCAGTGATCAAAATGTAAACTGCGTAGGAGAACAAGAAAGGAAAACAAGAGTATATGCATTTTAAGTAAAGTTGATATAAGGTAATACAAGGAAAAACAGGAATACAGGAACTCACTTAAGCTTGTATCTACAGTTAAAACAATAACGTACACTGTATAAAAGGGAGCCACAATAAACCTGTTACTGTCAAAGTGAGGGTGGAGGTTGGTCGAGGACCCAAATGAAGAAATGAGGAAGGCAGAGATGAGTTTTAGCAGCTTTAATGAAGTAAATGATAAATGAAACAAAATCTAGGAACCCCCACCTCCCCCACCCCCTAAAAAAACAAGGACAAATCAGGAGAAAACACACATGGGGAGCCAAGTAACAACAACGAACCAGCACTGAAGAACATAGGGAGCGTATATATGGGAGACAGAAAAAAGACTGGGGTAATCAGCTGATATCGAGCAGGTGTGGATGGAAGAGACTAGATGTGAGCTTGGGGAAATGAGAGAAGCACAAGGGGGGAAACAAGAGAGTAACTGCTTAAATAAAACACAAAATGAAAAAAAAACAAAAGATCAATCAAACAGAATGACTAAGATGAAAACTAGAAACTCAAAGTTCAAAAGGGGAGAACTTTTTCTGAGAACTGTATCTTTTCATCACAAATACCTAGAATTAAGTATGGCATCACAACACATTCCCCACTCCTCATGTGTGGAATTTCTAGATGTGATTAAATAAGATATCTTTAGAAACTTTCTTTTAGTGCACTATAAAAACTTTATCAAGGTTTACCCTTATCTAACAGGTTTATGTAAGGATGCAATTGCATTAAAGTGGACATTTGAACTTGTTCTCTGATACAGCTTAATGTAAGATTCCCCGTTACTTTACAGGTAGATGATATAACATATGGAACCAGAAAAGCTGGAAATGGATCTGAGTAGATTGTGAATTTTAGCCTAATCACAAGTTTTTCATTTATGTTATAAATGTTCCTTTGAAATGCTTAAGTTGGCCAATAAGTATCCGCCTACATTTAACAGTGAAATCAATTTATTACGTTGTTGCTTGGGACTCAGAAATGAAAAAAAAAAAATGAAAAGAAAATTGAACAGCTGTTTAGTAATTTCGTTAGATGCTTCTATATTAGCTAGATAATTTTTCTGAGTAAAGAATATGCACACTGCACTGCATGCATATATTATTGGATCATTACTGTCAGCCAAACAGGTTGTTAACTTTTATATGGTTGTTTTGTGCTCTAGATAATTTCCAGCAATACCCGAGGGTCAAAAACAAGATATAGGTGAAGATGGTTAAGCAAACTGCCAGTGACAGCATCCATTACTTCAGTGATAAGGCTGATTATTCTGTGTTCAACAAAGCATGGAAGAAAATAACAGGCCCTGCAGCTGAAAACCTCGGAAGTGTTTTCTTTGGATCAAGTGTTGTGATTCAGTTTGGAACCATGGGTGAAGGAAGAGGAGATAAAGAAAACCAAGCTAACAGGGAAGAAGTGGCTGACAGCAGAAATATAGTAAATAAGCACTCTATAAATGTAGGTTTTTATAATCCAACACAGTCGTCGCTACAAGGAAAAGGAGAAGAGGGAGTGAAACCTCAGACAGGTAAGAAAGTCTTTGCATTGGTAAAAGGGATGTGCAACAATCTTAAGTCAAAGTATTTCCTTCTTTGTGGAGCTCAGGAAACAAAAATCCATTATTTGATAAAAGTTTTTTCATTATTTTTCTTCCTTAGTGACGGCATCAAAGATCATTGTCAAAGGCTCAGATGGAGAACTGAAGTGCATCAAAGGTAACAACACATAGAGGCAAAACTACTCTTGTGCTTTAAAAACTGATAAACAATTTTCCTTTATTCCTTAGAATAAATATGATGACTTCATTTTTTTGTAGTTCTGAGAGCTTACAGGATCGTCCTGCTTGGAGAAACCGGAGCTGGGAAAAGCACCCTTGGAAACTTTCTATTTGGAGAAGATGTGTTCAAACCTGGCAGAACAACTGAATATTATCTTCACTCCAAATCTGCCCATGAAAGAAGAATCACTGTGTTGGACACACCTGGTTTCTCTAATGGTGACTTGAAGGATGATATTGTTAGGTGTACCACAGAGTGCACTCCTGGGCCTCATGTTTTCTTGATTGTTCTGAAAATGGAGGAATCCTCTGAGCAATTGTTGGCTGTCATTAAGAAAATCTTCCAGAGTTTCTCAGAGGAAGAATTCAAATATGCAGCAGTTGTTTTTACACATGTTCATCAGGGAATGGAAATAAAAAATTATATTAACCAGCAAAAAGATCTTCAAGATTTAGTTAAGAAGTGCAGTGACCGATTCCTTGTTTTTGATCATAACAAAAGCTCAGAGGAGGACAAACATTTTTTTCAGTCAGAGCTAATAAACATGATAGATAAGTTAGTGATGGAAAATAAAGGGGGGTGTTACACCCACAAAATGATCCAAGCACATAAGACAGACAACAAAGAAACGGGTAACCCAAAAAACGACAAAGCTGACACTGATGCCAGTAAGAGTTTGTGGATAAACCTCTCAGGTCCTGAGGGGAACTTGGTGGCAAAAACTTTCTTTGGATTAGCTGCTGAACAAGGATCCCCTATAACAACATTGCTAGGAACAGCAACAGGAGCACCAATAGGGGATGGAGTAGGAACAGCATTAACGGAAGGAGTAGGAGCAGGGGTAGGAGCAGCAAAAGGAGCAGAAATAGCAAAAGGGGTAGAAGCAGCAAAAGGAGCAGAAATAGCAACAGGAGTAGGATCAGCAACAGTGGCAGAAAAAGCAACAGAGGTAGGATCAGCAACAGGGGCAGACATAGCAACAGGGGTAGGATCAGAAACAGGGTCAGGGATAGGAGCAGGAATAGCAACAGGGGTAGGACCAGAAACAGGGTCAGGGATAGGAGCAGCAACAGGAGCAGGAATAGGGGCAGGAATAGCAACAGGGGCAGGATCAGCAACAGGGGCAGACATAGCAACAGGGGTAGGATCAGAAACAGGGTCAGGGATAGGAGCAGGAATAGCAACAGGGGTAGGACCAGAAACAAGGGCAAAAATAGCAACAGGGGTAGGATCAGAAACAGGGTCAGGGATAGGAGCAGCAACAGGAGCAGGAATAGGGGCAGGAATAGCAACAGGGGCAGGATCAGCAACAGGGGCAGGAGTAGGAGCAGGGGTAGGCACAGTAATAGGATCCGCAATAGGAGCAGGGGTAGGCACAGCAATAGGATCAGCAATAGGGGCAGGAGTAGGATCAGGGGTAGGAACAGCAACAGGATCAGCAATAGGGGCAGGGGTAGGATCAGCGGTAGGAACAGCAACGGGATCAACAATAGGATCAGGGGTAGGAACAGCAACGGGATCAGCAATAGGATCAGGGGTAGGAACAGCAACGGGATCAGCAATAGGATCAGGGGTAGGAACAGCAACGGGATCAGCAATAGGATCAGGGGTAGGAACAGCAGCGGGATCAGCAATAGGATCAGGGGTAGGAACAGCAATAGGGGCAGGAGCAGTAATAGGGGCAGGAGTATGGGGCATTAGGAAAATGATAATCCATCTTTATAACATCTTTAAGAAGAATATTGGAGTTGTCCTACTAGTTGTTGCCTTCTACTTCCTGCTACTGTTGTCATTTTTTGCCAGAGTACCAATGGTGGGAAGCCTTGTTCTATCATGTGGAATCTTCATTTTGTTTTTGGTCATAGTCTTTTTATTAATTGCAATAGGCAATAACAATGGCTCATTGTTACTTAAACCAAAATAAATAAACATGGCAAATGAGCTGAAAATCTGATTTCTTTAAGTCAAAGTTAAAAACCCTTTTGTTTAGAAGTGCCTTTGAAAGTTGAAGTTAAACTATTAACTGAGATGTCATTAGCTTTAGGTTGTAGTCCAACAGTTGTATTTGCTACTTTTGTCATTTTTTTTGTCCTGACTTGCTTTTTTTTTTCTTCTTGTATATCTCATCTACTTTATTATTTAATTCTTTTTCTATTTAATTGTTGCATTTCCAGATTTTCTGTGATGGTTTTCATATGACTTTGGAGATTCTAAAAATCACACTTTTTTCAATTCAATGCTCCTCCGCTGTTTTTCCTGAATATGTAATCAGTTATGATTTTGTGTTTCTAGTTATTAAAAGTTTAATGAAAAATAAGTTTATTAGAATCTCTTTGTAATCTGAGCTTCTGCCTCAGATGGATGATGATTGTTTGTTGATCAAATCTAAAAATTCTAATATAATATAAAGTAAAGCAATCTAACAGAACCTTTTTTTAAATGATTTTCAAAGCATTTGTCTTTCGTATACCATCATGTCGAGCAAGAGCTGTGGTTGGTTTTGTCTTAAAGGAAGACAAAAGTAGATTTATTTTCTACAGATTTATCTACATTTCTGTCATTCTTTCTGGTCATTGACTGCAGTGTATTGCTTTCTGAATAAATATAAGCAGATGGAAAAAAATCTGTGGGATTTCTTTTGAAAAGTCAAGTAGAACAAACAAACGTATTGCATAATAAAGGCAAGATGTATTAAATTAATGCCAGTTTGTTGGTTCCCTTCATTTTTTTTATTTCTGTTATAAGTGAAAGATTTTAAATAAACAATAAGCTGATCACTGTGATGTTGTCTTCACACTATCAACACTTTTATAAGGTCTGCACATAAAAACAGTATCTTGCTGAGAGCAGGATAATAAATAAGCAGCAGAATACTGACTATTTCCAGATACATGGATGAAAAACAAAGTTCTTTATATTGCTAACCTTAGCTTCATACCACCAAAAAGCATTTTTTTTAATAATTATTTTATTTTCATTAGCATCAGGACCTACTTGATGCATTTGGCTCATATTGTAGTGTTTTTGTACTTGCAGCTTTTCCTAAACTCTGTGGTCTCCACAATAAATCACTTTAAATTGCTGACTTTTTACAGCTGAGGCCCTTTCCGATACAAGTGGGTTTCAACCCAGAGCGACGAGCACAAGTCTTCTGCATTGTATTGAAGTAATAAATAACTGAGAACAAGGCTTTTATTGCTTTTGAAGAGAGAACAACATTGTTCTATTTATTTTTGCATTTATATATTTGTTTTAATTAATTTTCAATCAGATGGGAAAAGGAAACAAATTTGAGGTATGTATTCAGGTGATCTCTTGGCTGGATTTGAGAAAATCAAATTGTCCTGCAAAATGATGTGGAAGTATAAGCAGGTTAATTCAGCTTCACAGCATTCAGCCTTCATCAAACACACAATCTCTGCTTTAATTAGCCATAGCTGATGGTCTAAACCATTTACATGCAATTCAACTACTCACTTCCATCTAAAAGCTTCAGATTTTATTTCGTGATTTTGTACACACAAGTGTATCCAAAAAGGAATTCTGTTAAGTACAGCTCCCTAGACATTTTTAAATTTTTTTTAAAATGCATCCTAAGCAGCTAATTAGTGATAAAAAACATTGTGATGAAACAAAAACACTGTGGTGAAAAAAAGTGATGTAAACACATGACTGTATAGTTACAGTTCAAACATTCAGTTTTTTTTTTAGTTTCTTTTTTATAACCCATTTTACATAACATTCAGCAGTCTAATGGCAGTGGGGAAGAAACTATTCTGGAATCTGCTGGACGTGCATCGGATGCTTAGAGGTCTCTTCCCAGAGGGCAGCAGGGAGAACAGTCCATGGTGGGGGTGTGAGGGGTCAATTATGATGTCACGGGCTCGGGGCACGCAACGCTAGGATAAAATGTATTTAATGGAGGGAAGAGGAACCCTGATGATCTTTTTTGCTGTTCTCACCACTATCCTCACCTTCTTCCAGTCTGAGGCGATGCAGCCTCCACAACACAGTGAGACAGCTGGCCAGAACACTCTCTATGGTGCTCTGTAGAAGGTGGTGAGGATGGGTGGGGGCAGGTGGGCTCTCTTCACCCTGAGCAAGAATTACATGTGCTTCTGTGCCCTTTTGACCAGTTGGGTGGTGTTTACATTCCAGGTGAGGGTGTCTGTGATGTTCACCCCCAGGAATTTGGTGCTGTTGACCACCTCTACAGCTGAGCTGTTGATGATCAGTGGAGCGTGGTTAGGCCGGTTCTTCCTGAAGTCCAAGATGATCTCCTTCATCTTCTCCACATTCAGCATCAGGCTGTTATCTTTGCACCATTTCACCAGCTGCTCCACCTCCTCTCTGTAGTCCACGTCGTCTACGATGAGGTCCACCACCGTGGTGTCGTCTGCAGACTTTACAATGTGACTGGTGGTGAACCTGGGGACGCAGTCATGTGTCATCAGGGTGAACTGCAGGGGGCTCAGAATGCAGCCCTGAGGGGAGGCTGTGCTTAGACTGATGACATCAGAGGCGTTCTGTCCAGCCCGGACTGACTGAGGTCTGTTGGTGAGAAGGTCTAGCAGCCAATTGCAGAGGGGTGTATTGAATCCCAGCTTTTCCAGTTTGCCCATCAGATTCTGTAAGATGACGGTGTTGAAAGCTGAACTGAAGTCCAGGAACAGCATCCGCATGTGGGAATTCTTCTCCTCCAAGTGTGCCAGGCTGAGGTGGAGAGCAGCAGAGATGGTGTCCTTAGTGGAGCGGTTATGTCGGTAGGCAAACTGGGAGACGTTGAATGTCCGTGGAAGACTGTGGTTCTGCTGATGGCACAGTTTAAGTTGGCACGTGCTGTTCTCAGTGCCTCTAAGTTCCATGGTTTTAGAGATTTCCGAACATCTCCATTCATCCAGGGTCGTTGGTTGTCCTGGGTGGTAATGTTCTTCTTGATGTTGACATCCACAATGCATTTGTCAATGTAGGCTGACACAGTCATGATACATCAAAAACACACATTTAAATCAAATATATGCACACACATATTTATGGTTATGTTTTTATGAAAATTTTCTGATTTAAACTTACACCCAAACACCATAGAAATCCCAAAAACTATGAGCACAAATCCCCCTATATTTTCCATGGTCTCTCCCAGAACCTATTAATGGTGTCTGGACCCCGGGGAAGCATTTGCCCAAACACGCTGGAGAGAACACATGACTTCTTTTGCACTTACTCCCAACATACTTTACATTGACCCTTGCTAAAGTTTCTAAACGGCAACCCTTGCTTCCTGTAAACATCAATTCTCTTTTCCACAGACAACAATCCCAATTGTTAATGGAGAGCATCTTTGAGGAGCCCAGAACAAAAGGCCAAATGCCAACAAACAAAATACACAACAAATATTAATTTTAAAAACCTTGTGTGTATATTGTTCTTTATTTGCAAATCTATGCTTAAAGTGCAGTGCTTAATAAGGTGTTCTAGTACTAACCAGGCTGATTTTTATAAATATGCAAAGATCCCTTTAAAGTCTTACAAGCTATTTACATAAAAAAGCTATTTACATAAAAAAGTCCCAGTAATGAAGACCTCTTCAATACAAGGTCTTTTGTAAAAGAAAAAAAAAAGAAAAAAAACAAAACCATAATAGGGCAAAGTAATTTCGGTTCCGGTTTCAGTCCACAAAAGTGTCCATAAATAGAAAAGTAAATGTTTCCAATTTAAACCAGCTTGACTTTTAAGAATAGTTGAATGTTATATGAAAATGCAAGATACTTGAGTAGTTTAAAGCGGTTATTGGGATGTTCAGAGATAATAGACACTGTAGACATCACAGATGTGGCATAACTAAACAAGCCGTACATTATCTTGCTGGGGCATGCACATGTGGATACACAGTGGAATCAATGCTATTTCAAAGGTGTACAGATAACTACTTGTCATGACTTGTCTTCAACACAGAAAATGTGAGTGATGTATGCTGCTCTTGCAGTTGCATGTCCCTGCTGATCTATAAACTGACATAACCCCTTATCAAAGGTAATAGTCTCAGCTGATACTGTAGATTGAAATGTTTCTCTGCAAAACTTAAATAAAATATATTTAAGTGTTGGTAAAGTCATTTACTATCAGGAGCATTATTTAAAGTGCTATTGAATGAGTGATTGCCCCACTCACAAGAACTGGGAATAAGCCCCAAGAGTATAAGCGCCTTCAAAAAGCAGGGGCCTACACTTCATAATTGACTTTCTGCCCAACCTTTACACCACTGGTAGAAGCTGCAAAGCATAGACAGCACGGCAGAGGGCACAATATGGAGGTATTTATTTCCTTTTACTGAAAGAGCTATTGCAAATGTGAGGAAGAGGTGTTTCTTCCACGAATTGCAATATTTTGTTTGTTTTTAACTCAAAGCAGGATTCTAACTAAAATTGGACTACATTCTAATTAAAAGCATCTCAGGACCAAAACTTAGCCTAAGGTCTTCAGGCTAAGACTACAGTAAAATGGAAGAGAAATATTTGCTACATTTTTACTAAAACCATAATTACTATTGGCTGACATTTTTTTTAAATGCTGTCAAACTTTACACTTCTTAAATATCACATTTGTTTTGGAAATGTCTCTTAAATTATGTGTTTGATTAAAAATGGTGACAATTTACAAATTTAATTTACCATAAACCCCATGCCATCCACTGGTTTTATTTACGGCAGCAGTATTTTATTTTTATTTTTCAATTTATTATCAATAGCTTTCAACCAATGAAACGAGGTGCATGTTTACATTTAGTTTCTCACTGAACTCTGTAATTGACAGTACAGTCTGCTTGTATGAGTGGAAACACAGACTACCTAAATCTGTCTTGAATTAGTGACTTTAAGAAAGAGAGGGTAGATTTTGGGTGAACCCCATTTTGGCCTAAAATTTTGACCTAATTTGGGTCAGAATTAGACTCCAAGCATGGCTTTTCTGGGAGGGGTATTAAATACCTCTCAAATTTATGTCCATTCTTAAAAAAAATCATATTCCCTGGAAACTGCAAACAATGGCACAGCTCACCTGGAGAGAAAAAAAGAGAAGTTGACATTTTTACATATAAAGGAATTTAGACTAAACTGTTGGCCTGAGGTACCCATCACAAACTTTAACTACAGCTCCCAGCATGCCCTGCATCTGACATTACACCATAGACGAGAAAAGGTAATGGAAGCTACCAGCCAGTATCTATGGCTGTTTGTGAAACACTCTGCAAGCAAAGTAAAAGTGTAACATATATACATAAAAAAATATAAAACATAAATTTTATTACTTACATTTATATTATTCTATAAATCAAAAACTCGATATTGGTACTCATTCCTGCCTGAAATGCGCAAATAAGTAATTTCCACTGTACAATAGCTAAAAAGAATAAAAAAGCAACTCTTAGCATGATTATAGAATGCATTAATAATCTAATAGAAATGCCAGTGCTTTCAGCATCTCAGTTTGTTCTGACCAAAAACAGCCAAAGTGTTGGGATCTGGAGGTCTGTCCACTTTCTCCACCACGAGTACGAGATCTCCTGGAGCCGGAGCTGATTGCAACCACCTGTCACTCATCTGCTCATCAGGAGATCCGTATTTAAGGAGGCAGAGGTCTTCTCTCCAGTGCCAGAGTGTTTGCCAGTAACGGTTAGCAAGCCTGAGCCAACCAGCCTTTCTGAACCTCTGACTCCCTGAAAACCTGATCTGTTTTCTCCCCTCTGCTTCCTAGATTTAACCTACCTGAAACCCTGAAGAGTTTCTCTGCCAGTGATCTGCCTGTCAGTTCTCTGAAGAACTCTGGAGAATAATCCCTGTCTAGGATCTGCCTGTCCGCTCTCAGAAGAAACTGGAAGGAAAACTCAAATCTGTTATCTGCCAACACTAAAACCAAGCTCTGCCTCCGCCTAGCCCTCAGCCTGCCGACAGCCTCTGGACCCTCAAGGTTCCCCCCTCTGCTGCTCTGCTCAACTCCAGAACAGGTACAGCCCTGTACGCTCTCACCCTGCTAATTACCTGGACATCCACTAACTCCTCTGTCCCCCTCTGCAGTAAACCCACTCGTGACCAGTCCTGGATCTGATAACTCTGTGTGCATTTCTGAACCCACTCGTGACCAGACAAATTCCAAATTTCTGGATCTGTTCATTCATTGTGCTTAAACGTTTCAATAAATATTTTAACTTTTCTCCTGCCTCTGAGTGTTCTGCATGTGGGTTAGGCACCTTAAGCCAAACATGACACAAAGTGTCTCCTGGGAAAAATCCTGGCCAGATGCAATAATTTTCATCATGCATACTGCATATTAATCTGAGAAAGAGTGGAGGGAGGCCAATTTTAGCACTAACAGTTTAAAATCAACCAGATAACTACCGATGAGATGCAAAAATATCTTAATTAAAAGAGGTCTTATAGCAACCAGTTGTGGGGATTTTAATGATGCAAACTGCTCTTTTGGGACATAACAAAGGGCATCAATAAAAAACAAAAATCGCTGTTTAATCATGAGTCTGCCTCCCACGCTGTGATTGGTCTGTTCTGTTTTAGATCTGAGAGTAATCACTCTTAGCAGACTTACTTACTGTATTCCCTGTCTTTGTCAGTCTGTCTGGCCAAGCAAGTTACACAAACCAATGCTTTATAGAAAAATAACACTCAGAGACAGATATTTATAGGAGGCTAACATATAACAGGAGAGTTTAGCATTGCAGAAATATGACCTTTACTGTAGCCAATGTAGGAATCTCTCTCCATGGTAGCCCTGTAGCACTAGCCTTCTTACTTAGCATTCAGTAAGTGCTTGCTGCATCCTTTCTGGTTGTGTAGATGACTCCACATATTCAGCCTCTGATTGTAACTCACGATTAGAGATGTACAGTTGTATCATTGTGTATATATTTGCATCCACACCCATGTGTCTAACAACACCTAACAGCTTATTTGCTTAAAAGCAACAGAACCCTAAAAAATCTCATTCTGAATTAACTCAAAATGAGTGAAACTGAAGATAAATTCATCTGAGAAGGTCAATGCCATATTTCATCTCAATATTTAGAAGACAAGAATAATATGGGGCAGCAGATGTCTAAAGAAAAGGCAATTATTTCTGAGATAAGACTTAAAGCTCTATTTATTTATGGACTCACTTTTTAACATGAATGTTAAAATGGCCCACTATAATGATCGTGGCATTCTACACAGACTAAATCACACACTGTAAGTTGTCTGAGAACTAATAAAAAGAGTCTGGTTGAAAATACAAAACAAATAAATAGTGTTCTAGTTCTTTGCAATTTTAATAAGCAATAAGAATAAAAATAAAGATTAGAAATGTGTAACTATAGATATAATTCAGTCTAGGATTAAACAACAAATCTTATTAGAGAGTTGCTACTCATTTTTTTAGTAATGTGAAAATGTAAAAAAAACGGAAGGACTGTTCTATACTAGCACAATATTCATTTTGTAACCAGGTTTCTCTGTTACAAAATGTATCACTCTGATTATAATACACAAGACATTCACAAGCAAGATCTTAAAGAGAGTCATCTTGTGTTTGATAGACAGATTGGTAGCTATTCAGTTTCTGTTCTTACAAGAATTTCATGTTTTCCACATTTGAGATATTTCTTTTATGCATTTTAATGTGGGAAAGACACTGTCTCAAAGGGATCATGGTGGTAAACAGCACAGAAACTACAGAGAACTGTGATAAGATTTTGCTTACAGTAAATTCCAG